TTGGGTTGGCCAAAAAGTTTGTTCGACTTTTTCCAGAAGCCGTAACAGAGAAACTCAAATGAACTTTTTGGCCATCCCAGTAGCTGGCATGAAAGGCATGTCTTCGTGAATATTTTTTTGGTCCATTTTTAAATGCAACTCTATGTCTAGGGGGAAGTCCTAAATACTTACAACACTTCTCTCTCTTTACCAGAATAACAGCAATAAACACCACCACCACCAATAAGGAGAAGCCTGCTCCTTACTCTAAAGTTCCTCCAGGGTTCTCTTCCATTTTTACATCTTCTCCTTTGCTCTCTCCATCCAATGCCATGACTTCAACTCTACCCAGATCCCTCTCACATCAATGAAACTGTCTCAGACCTCTCTCCAGGGCTCTGGAGCTGTTTAACCAGATCCCCTGGATCTTTTACTCATCCCTCAAATCTAACATGTCCACAACTGGTTTTATTTATGTCCCACACCCAACTCCCTTGCTCCTTGCTTTTCATTCCCTGTTTCAATGGGTAATTCTACATTCACCCAGTTATCTAAGGCAAGAACTTGAGGGTAGTGAGCCTTGTACAGCATGTCCTCTACATATGAATGAGTTGTGTTCTGAGAACATATTTGTAAGTCCAACAAAGTTAGCCTAGGTACTTAACCAACACAATCAGCTACATAGTACAGTGATGTAATAGGTTCATCATAACTTTCACACAAATAACACATTAAAAAATAAACACAAAAAGTAAACCATTTTTAATCTTACAGTAGAGTACCTTGGAAGGTACAGTAGTACAGTACAAGAGCTGGCATCAAGAGGCGTTACGGACTAGGGGAGGGAGAGGAGGTGGGAGATGGTGCAACTGAAGGACTGTCAGCAATAAGAGACAGAGGGCAAGCTGCAGTCTCACTCAGGCCTGACGCTGATGCAACTCACATTTGCATCTTTGAAAATTCACACCTTGAAGGGTCGTATGTCCAGGACTTACTGTATGTAAGCAGAACCTCAGCAAATTGAAGAAAGAGGATGACTGATATCTGTGGCTTGAAAAGGGAGAGGATAATCCTCAGAAACTGTGTGCAGATTTTATAACAGGACTACTTTGAGGTGTGTAGGTTTTTTCCCTTGTTAATTCCTGGAGGTATTGGTGTTGCAATATCATGATCTCTTCTCTGGCAGTGAGTCCACAGTCAGTATTTCCTGAAGCCTCCTGATTTTCCTCGCACTGCCTTGAGTTCCGTAAGGGTTACCGAGATGAGAGGCGGTCTCCACCCTCAGAAGACGTGTAACAGTGGCGGGGAGCTGAAATCAGGTCGTGGAAGCATTGACAGTGCAGTGTAAACTTGACTGTGGCTTGCTGTTGTGAGAGAGGAGAGAACAGGCAAAAAACGTGGTTGGCAAGAGCTTATGGAGGAGGTGGGGATTAATCTGGGGGTTGTGAGGAAGTCATTCTCTCTTCTAGATGCTGGTGGTTTTAGTGCCTTTCTCATCTTGGAGTCTGTTGCTAACGAAAGCCCTTCCGCACCATTCTGGTTCACGTGCCCAGCTCAGCCTGGTTGCTCGTAGGTGACGTGTCTGTCCGGAGATGCCTGTTGATGGGCAGCACCTAAGCAAAGAAGTGGTGTGACACTCTGCAGAAACGCAAGGTGAAAAATGATGAGGGTGTCTGACCTTAACTCTCAAGTACAAGTGAGCTTCAGAGGATTTAAAGTCTTTACTCCCGATATTATTGAACATAGAATTTTTTAAAGCTTTATCATTTTCCTACTGTTAATAGTTACAAAGAAGTCATTTGGTGTTGGTAAACTAAAGTTTTAGAATATTTAACTTTTCATGCCTGATATTAACGTTTCCTCAAATTCAGTGATTCTTAAGTAGAAAAGCTCTTTCCTAAACAGTGAGAAAGGAGGGAATTTTAAGGGAGCTCTTTGATCAGTTTGTGTATGCCTATGCCCTTGTATCAGTATTTTTTTTTTCACTTGAGGGTTCAGATTGCCACCATTTGGCCAGAAGGAAGGGAGAAATTCCCTTACTGGCGTGTGATTTAATATGTTGGGTGACAGCGTGTGCTGGGTCAGTCTGCTTGGGGACAGAAGCGCAGGCGCTGGTGATGACCTAGTGTCTGTGGTTGTGTGAACATTTCAGGCATTGTACCTTTTGGAAGGAACTTGGGACCTTGGGCTCCACTTCCTCAAGCTCCTTCTCATTGTCAGCTTTCTTCCTGTAGGAATGAGGCAGGGAGTAACAGGCCTGCTTGCTGCTTTCTCTGGGTCAGGCCCTGCCCTGGAGACAGGGCCCGTGGCCCAGAGAGCAGAGGGCCAGCACCTAGCCTCCTCCCACCAGGAAGCTGCTGGCGTGTGACCCACTGTGGAGGTTACCCCGTCCTACTGCAGACCTGGTCCCCATTTGCATCTTCTAGCCAAACCCCGAATTAGCAGCTGTCATGCCAGAAAACATTTCAGAGTTTGCTTTAGACTCTGTGCTGTGGTTGCGCAAGAGGCCGTCTTAATTTTAAAGGGAGTGGTTGCCCAGGATGACTGAGTGTTACCCGGAAGGGCCGGGGAAAAGCTGGCGCTCCAGGTCTCATTCGCAGAGAACTGCATGGATGGAGCTCTCCGGGCACAGAGGGAGAAGCAGCCTTTGCTGCAGAGTGGACTGTATCCCAGAACGAAAATAACCCAAAAGGAAATCACAGAAATCTAGCAGTGGGTTTTGGTTCACTTGCCTGAAAATGAGCCCTTCTCTTCGGGGCCGAATTATCCCAATTAGCTAAATGTGTTTGTGGTGAAGGGCTGTAGGAAAAGGAAGTTCACTGGAAGAGGAAGCGTATGGTATCCTGTTTTTTTAAGAAAAATTTTATTGGAGTATAGTAGCTTTACATTGTTTTTAGTTTCTGCTGTATAGCAAAGCGAGATGGACGCTGTCCATATATCCCCTCCCTCTTTTTTTGGATTTCTTTCCCAGTTAGGTCTTCACAGAGTGTTGAGTAGGGTTCCCTGGGCTATACACTAGGTTCTCCTTAATTATCTATTTTATACATAGTATCAGTAATGTACATAGATCTACCAATTCATCCCCCTCGGTATTCACATGCTTACTCTCTATGTCCATGCAGTATTCTGGACTGTGTGTTTATGAATGGGGGGAGAGAACAAGGCTTTTATAGAGAGACTTTGCTCAGGGAGAAGACCTGCCCACAGAGATCATGTTCACCTCTTGCTCAATGTATCTCCTTCCCCAACCATGCGTTTAAGAAAGAAAAAAGCTCAGAAAACTCTCCCTCTCCGGAGTCTTCTGCATGGGACCATTCATCCTGCTCAGTGCTTCCTTAAGGGATCCCTTCTTCCAGCCATCACCATCTCTGATTTCTTCTTGCCTGAATTCTGCTCTTCCAGATCTTCGCTCCTCAGATCCTTTTAGCCTTAGTTGTAAGCTGGGTCAGAGTTAAGTAAAAATTTTTTACACAGTCAGTTTTCAAGGTTGGTATTTGGGAGTGAGCCTAATCAGAGGCCAGGGATTTTGCTTGTGCTCCATGATGAGCAGAGCTGAAGTCTGTGTAAGATGCTTTCCTGAGAGCGGGTTACTGGCATTCATGCATCCTCTGTTTCTGGGACTAGGCCTGAGGAGGAAGGGAGCTTTAATCAGCTGGAAGCTGTTGTGGCTGGGGTGTGACCGTCCACATTGCGTGTCATCTGCTGCCACGGCAGTTTGCTGAGCAACTCTCGTGACCCATTATTTATAAACATCAAGGCCAAGTCATTGGCGTCTTAATAGAAAGTTGCTGCCTCTGGAAGGCACCCTTGAGCGGTTACGATTTAATGGGGTCCATGACTTTGGCCTAAGGGGCCAAGCTGTGATGTGGGCTGACAGTACCATGGAGGTGAGGAGACCAGTTGAGAGAGACAGAAGCTCTTCTGAGCTCCTCCCCACCTTCTGCTTTCTACCCAAGCTCATAATGTGTACAAATGATACTAGACGTATTTCACCAATGGTCCTCTGTGAGTGAAAAAATCATGGAACCCATTTAAGAAATGCTGCTTCTGTTTGAGTGTAAATTCATCTCCTGGGGCTTCCCTGGTCTGGTGGTCGAGTGGTTAAGAATCTGCCTGCCAATGCAGGAGATAGGGTTTGATCCCTGGTCCGGAGGAGCCCATGATCCGCAGAACCACTGAGCCTGAGCATCACGACTCTTGAGCCTGTGCTCCAGAGCCCAGGAGCTGCAACTGCTGAAGCACCTGGAGCCAGCGCTTCACAGCCAGAGGAGCCGCCTCAGCGAGGAGCCCGTGAATGAAGAGGCGTTCCGCTCTCTGCAGCGCGAGAAAGCCTGTGTGTAGCTACAAAGACTCAGTGCAGCCAAATAAATAAATAAATCTTAAAAAAAAAAAAAGAAAATCCCCTGCAGTCACTGCCTGGGCCTAGTTCTTGTAGAACATCTTCATGTTCACCAGCAAATGGAAGTTTCTCCTTGTCCACGATTTAATCAGTTGGGCTGTTAAATTGTAATCTAAGATTTCAGCTCAGAAAACAAGGTCCCTTGCAGGTTGTTGAATTTATGTGGTGAGTGGTGATTGGCAGTAGCTTGAAGAGTCATCATGTAGCTGGAAAGAAAGAGGCTGGACCCGGCAGGGCTGGTGCACCGCTCTGGACTGCTCTTGAGGTTATCGCTGATTTATGACTGTGTTCCTTAGAGACCAGGAAGTTCATTGTGGCCGCCATTAAGGCTTTCATCTTCCGTCTTGATCTGATTTTGATTATTGCTTTTTTTTTTTCTTGTGGGGAGAAAACGCCTCATTTTGTATTATCTATGATTTATTTTAAACATCGTTGGTTTGGAAAAAAAAAAACACAAAATCCCTGAAGACAGGGCACCAAAATCCTCTCAAACTGCATTGTAAATGTAATTTTGGTTATAATTGGATCGACTCATCAATTGAGGGCATGTAGTTATTAATGGAGTTGTTTTTTCCTCCTCTGAGCTTTTGTTTGAAAGTTGATGCCTTTTCCTCCTCCCCAGGTGACCGTCCCAGTCTTCCTAAGGAGGACACCCCTCCCAGCAGCCTGGACTCACTTTCCTCGCCATCTCCCACGACTGCCACTGCCCTTGGGCCCCCTGGACCAGACAGGAACCATCTGCTTACGGATGGGGGCAGCTGTGGGGACTGGGCGTCCACTGCGTAAGTAGCTGTGCTGTTCTGTTTGGTGCTGAGGGAAGGGGGGCAGTGATTTTTATTTTGAAGTGTTATGTGCCAGGTCAGTCCTATAGCCTTAAATCTCAGGACCCTTGTTCTCTTAATCTGTGGGGATGCCAAAGAGAAGAGGGTCCATAAACCAACGGGCGTCGGGTCTGTGTGTTTCCAGTATGGAAGGGGTGGGTGGATGCTATTTCAAATCTGTTTTAAGTTCAGTTTGTGGAAGTTTGGGGTTGCACAAAGGAAGTTTGTTATTACCCTGCTCGGGAGGTTTTCTCATTAGTTACCGCAGACTTTTAGGAAGACGAAAATGCTTGCCTTGTGATCAGTAGACTTTTAAGTTTTCTATAGGATGATATCTTAAGGATAGGAATTTTTATGAGCTTCATACTAATGTCTTACTCTGTTTACTCTGTGTGATCGTGTATAATCGACAATTGATGGATGAAATATCTGATTTTGTCTTCTCAGTTTGGTTTAGTGCCAGGCATGTGCAGATGCTTATGTGTATTAGGGCAAACAATTCGAATACAAACAAAATACCACGCACGGCCCTGGTTTGACGACTTGAGGGTGTGTCTCTGCTTCCTGAAGTTGTGGAGTAAATGCAGATCGGTGGTGGTGTGAAACATCAGATTTCAAACAAATGCTCAGAGAGGGGAAAATAAAACAACTCCACCAATAATTACATGACATTAGTTGATTAGTCAATCAAATGGCATCCAAAAATATATCTGTAATTCAACCTGAGAGTATCTGGGTGTCCTGCCTTTAAAGTTAAAAAAAATTTAAAAAAAAATCAAAGTTGCTTAAAATAAGTCATAGATAATGATGTCATTTGACCCTAGCTGAGCATTCTTGGGACTTTAAATGGAATTGAAAACTATTCCTCACAGTACTTGGCTTTTTATAGTTACTGCTGGATTCACATGAAATCATTATGAACTTATTAAGTATTAAAAGAGGCAGGGACAAATCTGGTGTGTTATCCTAAAATTTGGGGGTGACCTGAAGACTTTGAAAATCTAACTGAAAATCCAGGTGGAACTCAAAATATGGGTACACGTTCTCCAGAGGAGTTTTTTTTCCCCCCAAGATCGTCACATATGTATATATATTTAAATGCTGAAGACTGTGTTGTGGATTTAAATTACATGTTACTCAAATGGGCCTATCATTTTTACTACTGTCTTTTAAAAGTAAGAATAATTTTTCACTTTTGTGCTACAAGCAAAAGAGACAGTGGTCACATAGGAACCCAGAATCTGTAACGCAGGGCACTCTAGCGGTGGGACTTGGTGTATGTTAGTGTGTGTGTGTGTTTTAAAGCACAAACCAGGCCTGCAATCTTGCCAGTAACTGCGCAGTCCGTGGACAGCAGTGTGGTCAGTCCTTCCGTGTGCTTCTGTGGAGAAGTAGCATTCTGAGCCACGTTGCAGCCCACGCTCAGTTCATAGCACGTCCACTGCTGAAACGTGAAAACCGTGATATTTTTGGCTGTCAATCAAATGCGGAGTGAATCCCCCAGCTTCTTATTCATACAGATTAAAAAAAAAACAACTTTAGTCTTTATTTATCGGCTTTATGTCTCAGGCCAGGCCATGTTCAGCATGTGGGATCTTAGTTCCCCAACCTTTGCTCCGAGCATAGGGAGCACAGAGTCTTAACCCCTGGACCAGCAGGGAAGTCCCCACATGCATCTTAAAGTGTCACAGAAGGTACCTCCAAGCTTGAGAGGCCCGAAAAGAACAGGGCAAAAGAAGTAGTTGAATCCAGTCTGGAAAGGAGATTTTTGTTTTAATAGACACTTCCTGCTATTTGAAGAACTTGATCTTTTCCCCTGGGCACTGGACAAAACTCATCTCTGTCTTAGGAATGTAAAATGTTTCCTGTGTATCTTTTAAAGGATTTACTTGTAAGCATGTTTCAGTCTAGATTTCTCATTAAGTTGGGGAGTGCTCCTCCTACTTGAGCCCAATGAGGGTGCTCTGCAGGACTTGTGAAGCCCATAGTGCTGGACGCCACCCCCAAGAGTGATGCTTAGGGTTAGAGGGGAGCCGGAAAATGTGTATTTCTAATGTATTTCCTGAGGATGCTGGCAAACCGTGATATAACCTCCTGCCTGCTCCTCCCCCCATGGTTGTAGGCACACGCTGATGTACATCTCTGAGGATTCTAGTTAAGAGAAGTGACAGCGAATAGTACTTCCTTTTTTTTTTTTCTTTTCTTTTCTCTTCCTAGGATTGTGTGTGTGCTCTCTTCAAGCAGCCCCTGGGTGCTCACTGCAAATGTTGATTCCCACTGCCTGAAATGTCTCCTTCCTTTTTGCTCAAGACAATCCTGACCTGTCTTCAGGGTATAATTTAGTTTTCACTTTTGGGAAGCCTTCTTGAGTATTCTGGTCTACTGGAGGGTTCAGAATTACACCTTTCTCCGTCTCTGCCCAATACTTGATGTTAGGAAACGATTCCCTAGTTAATGTTGTTGTTCAGTTGCTAAGTCATGTCCGACTCTTTGTGACACCATGGACGTCATGCACACCAGGCTCCTCTGCTCTCTGCTGTCTCCCAGAATTTGCTCAGATTCATGTCCATTTCTCCTTTTGCCTTCAGTCCTTTCCCAGCATCAGGATCTCTTCCAATGAGTCAGTTTTTCGAATCAGGTGGCCAAGTGTTGGAGCTTTAGCTTTAGCAACAGTCCTTCCACAAAATATTCAGGGTTTATTTCCTTAAGGATTGACTGGTTTGATCTCCTTGCAGTTCAAGGGACTCTCCAGGGTCTTCTCCAGCCCACAGTTAAAAAGCATCAATTCTTTAGTGCTCTGCCTCCTTTATGCTCCATCTCTCACATCTACACATGACCATGGGAAAAACTGTGGCTTTGACTATGTAGATCTTTGTTGGCAAACTGATGTCTCTACTTTTAAATACGCTGTCTGTTTGTCATAGCCTTTCTTCCGAGGAGCAAGTGTCTTTTTATTTCATGGCTGCAGTCACCATCAGCAGTGATTTTGGAGCCCAACAAAATACAGTCTGTCACTGCTTCCACTTTTTCCCCACCTATTTACCACGAAGTGATGGGACCAGATGCCGTGACCTTAGTTTTTTTTGAGTGTTGAGTATTAAGCCAGCTTTTTCACTATCCACTTCCACCCTTATCAGGAGGCCCTTAAGTTCCTCTTCACTTTCTGCCATTAGAGTGGTTTCTGCCATTTTGCATGATGTACTCTGGATAGAAGTTAAATAAGCAGGGTGACAATATACAGCCTTGTCATACTCCTTTTCCAGTTTTGAACCAGTCAGTTTTTCCATGTCCAGTTCTACCTGTTGCTTCTTGACCTACATATGGGTTTCTCAGGAGGCAGGTAAGGTGGTCTGGGATTCCTGCCTCTTTAAGAATTCTCCACAGTTTGTTTTGATCCACACCGTCAAAGGCTTTTGAATAGTCAATGAAGCAGAAGTAGATATTTTTCTGAAATTCCCTTGCTTTTTCTATGATCTGGTGGATGTTGGCAGTTTGATCTCTGGTTCCTCTGCCTTTTCTAAATCCAGCTTGAACATATTAAGTTCTCAGTTCATGTACTGTTGAAGCCTAGCTTGAAGGATTTTGAGCATTACCTTACTAGCATGTGAAATGAGAGCAATTGTGTGGAAGTTTGAACATTCTTTGGCATTGCCCTTCTTTGGGATTGGAATGAAAACTGACCTTTTCCAGTCTTATGACCACTGCTGAGTTTTCCAAATTTGCTGGCATATTGAGTGCAGCACATTAACAGCGTTGTCTTTTAGGATTTGAAATAGCTCAATTGGAATTCCATCACCTCCACTAGCTTTATTCATAGTAATGCTTCCTGAGGCCCACTTGACTTCACACTCCAGGATATCCAGCTCTAGGTGAGTGACCACACCATCATGGTTATCTGGGTCATTAAGACCTTTCCTGTATAGTTCTTCTGTGTGTTCTTGTCACCTCTTGTTAATGTCTCCTGCTTCTGTTGGATCCTTACCGTTTCTGACCTTCATCATGCCCATCCTTGCATGAAGTGTTCCCTTGATAGTTCTCCTGTTAACCCTTAACTTTCCTTGTTGTCTGATAGTAGTATGTGTGTATGTCTGCATCAGTATCTCCATCTGCCTGCCTGGTTTATTTGTCTTGCTCAGTTCTAGCTGCTGTAACAAAACTACTTTGATTGAGTGGTTTTATGAACAGCAGGAGCTTAATGCCTACAGGTTTGGAGGCTGGAAGTCCAGGTTCAGGGTATCAGCCTGGCTGGGTCCCAGTGGGAGACTGCTTCCGGTGAGCAGACCGCTCAGTTATCCTGTAACTCATGTGATGGAGAGCAGAGAACAGCAACGGATTCTTGTGGGTCTTAAAGGGACACTGATCCCTTTCAGGAGGATTCTACTCTCATCTCATCCTAGTTTCCCCCTAGAGGCCTCAACTCCTAATGCCGTCTCATTACAGGGAGTAGGGTTTCAACATGTGAATTTTGAGGGGACACAGACATCAGGCTCATAATACTGTCCAGTCTTTCCCTTACTCCAAGATCAATCACAAAATTCTCGATAGTAGAAATTGGCTTGAGAACTTTTTGGTGATAGTGCGTGCATGTGCTTGGTTCTGTCTGACTCTTGACAATCCATCAGACTGCCCACCAGGCCCTTCTATCCATAGGATTTTTCAGGCAAGGATGCTGGAATGGGTAGCCATTCCCCACTCCAGGGGATCTTCCTGGCCCAGGGGTTAAACCCAGGTCTCCTGCACTACAGGCAGATTCTTTACTGTCTGAGCCTCCAGGGGAGCCCAAGTGATGTTGAGATAGTTATTAATAGATATTTTATTTTCCATTTTAATTACTTCATGTTTATAAAGATGCTTTCCTTGTGTCAGTCTCACTTCTTTCTCTATATCTTTGAATGTCTCTCAGGCAAATGTCTGATTTGGTTTCCATCTTCTTTCTTCCTTATAAAGATTTAAAACTCTTC